TCGTGAAGGCTATCAAGTTACACCACACTTCCAACGTCACTATACGTGACTATTTCTATGCTATCCGACTATGTCATGAAGGACGCATTCAAGCTCTGTCTCGAATCCGCTGTTGTCATGAAGGACGCATTCAAGCTCTGTCTCGAATCCGCTGTCATCTTCGACTGAAGAATTATCTTGTTTGTTTTACATTGTTGTAGTTTATGCTTTCAATCAAAGAGGATAGATAATTCTCTCTAATCATTGTATTCAAGAAGGTTAAGGTTAATGAAATTAAGTTGTGTTCAAAAAAAAAAATAGGAAAGACGAATATCTTGCAAACCAAAATTATAAAACCTATGGGGAGTTTACAAACTTTGTGAATATTAAATTAAAAATAGATAAAAATAGATTTAAGATATTCTTCACATATTTCGTTGTGTTTACAAAAAAAAAAAATATTAGATAGATAACAACATTTTTTCATTTTACCACTGTATATAGTATATATTTTATATTAGATGTTTTGCCCGCAAGTGCGGGCATAATTCTCTTATGAATATTTATTGGTTGATGTTTCATTAGTTTATTACTTATGTTTTTAAAAAGTACAAATCAAATATCAAATAATTATAAATGAGAAAACTCAAACATCAGAAATATTTAAAAGAATATATTTATATAATTATTTTTCTTGATTTATATTTAATTATAATATTTGCACAAATATTTTTACTTAATTTATATTTAATTATAATTTTTATATCTTAATTTTAAATTTTATAATAAAAACATATTTTTAAGATAACAGTATACTGCATAAGTTATTTATTTTCTAGAAATATAATATGATAAACTCGTTTTAATTATATAAGATTGCAGAAATGATGAAATATAATTAAAATTACTTAAAATCATGGAGAACTTAACAAATTAGCAAATTCTCTTCTTAAATAATTTTGATTGAGTGATGATTTATATTTATCAATAAATAGATATTTTCTATTTTACTTTTAAATTATATAATATAAAAATAAATTTTCAAGATGACAACATAATATATAAGAATTACTTTATTTTCTAACTGTATAATATTATTAGTGTAAATTTATTTTAATTATAGAATAACTACAACTTCTTATATCTTGATTTTAAATTTCTAATAGAAAAAATATATTTTCAAGACAACAACATAATACGAAAGAAGTATCTTATTTTTTTTTAAATATGATACCATTAATATAAATTTATTTTAAATATATAATAAATTATGATAAAATTATAGAAATTATGATAAATAATCAAAGTTACCTAAAATCATGGAAAATATGAAAAATCAGCAAACATCAAATTCACTTTTTAAATAACAATATAGATTTTTTACATTTTAATTTTAAAATTTAAAATAAAAATATATTTTAAGATAACAACATAATACATAAGAATTAACTTATTTTCTAAAATATCATATTATTAATATAAATTAGTTTTAATTATATAATAAATAATAAAAAAAATTAAAAAAAATTATGATAAATGATCAAAATTCCCTAGGATCATAGAGAAGATGATAAATCACCAAATTCACTTTTCAAATATTTTTTTGATGATTTATATTTATTTATTAATAATATCCTTTTTATATCTTAATTTTAAGTTTTATAATAGGAAAATATATTTTTAATATAACAACATAATACATAAAAATTATCGTATTTTAGAAATATATAAAATTATTGATATAAATTCGTTTTAGTTATATAATACATATAATAATTTTTTATCTAAATTTAAAATTTAATTTTTATATATAAAAATATAGTTCAAGATAACAACATAATTTACAAGAATTATCTTATTTTCTAAAATATGATATATTCATATAAGTTCAATTTATTTATAAATAAATTATATTAAAATATTAAAAATATAATAAATAAACAAAATTACCTAAAATAAAGGAGAAGTTGACAAATAAGCAAATTTACATCTTATATAATAGTATAGATCTTCATATCAAACACGGCTGTCATAATATTATATATGGTACTAAACCTATAAAGTGAAATATAAAAAATGACACAACTACATTAAATTTGGTGTTTTGTGAATAATAATATGACACCAAATATGGTGTAATGATTCATCACACCAAAATAATATATTTTATTATTTTTATCTAGTTAAGATAGATTAGTATTATGTTACAAAAAGAAAGTTAGATTAGTATCATTAATAGTATTTATTTATAGGTAAAATGATTATATCATACTATTTTGTATATTTTATTTTCACATTACTACACATTATATGAAATTAATAACATAACTAAATGAGTATTATCAATTATATTGTAACAAAATAAAAACACTTTAGTATGTAATTTTTATTTAAATATATAGAAATTAAATTCAACTAATTCTTACATAAAATAAATAAGCTAATGCATAAATTAACTAAAAAACAGTGAAAACATAAAACTAGCAAACTTTAAAAACAAACATAAAATCTAAATGTCATAAAAAATATTAATCAATTACAAAAATTCAACGTATTAAATTATAAAAATTGGATATTAATAATATATAATATTATTTTGGTGTTGAATTTGATATTAGAGATGAAAAATTAAAGTTTAATACCAAATTTGATGTAATTTAAACATTCAATTTGGTGTAGTTGGAGTTGTCGTTATAAAAGAAAATAGACGAAAATGAGGTCATGATGATGGCGGTGATCTGTGGAGTTGATGACGTTGAAGAAGGTGATAATGATGACGATGAAGATGAAGATGATGTGGGTAGTTGGGAGTAATAAAATACATATATTTTTAGCATGTTTTCTGATGTGTTTAAGAAAATTTATTTTAAGTGAGTATCTTATATTTTCAGAAAATGTTAACACTATATGTATCTTATATTTTCTTATCAAGCACAACTCTATAATTCATTCGTTTTATAGCATTCTGCAAACTATAACCTTAATTGAAGGTGTTAAACATCACTCCCCAAGAGTTTAAGCCAACAGATAGAGGATTCCAGATGGTATCGAGACTGAAGTTTAGTATATTAAGGTTAGTAAACGATATACCTTCCAACAAGCTATTTCAAGATAAGTCCAGTTAAAAAATAATAAAATACTGAAAACAAACTAATATGATGGTCCAAGCCATTTTCTCACTGAAATCATAATAAAGAATCTGCATGATATGATATGATATGATAAAATATGATCTATCGAGTGTAATTGCAAACCTCTAACAATGTAATGAGACCAAAACAAGATGATGCTTTATATTGCAAACAATCTTTGATTTACACAATAACTGCTCTTCTTACATAAGAGAAGAGTTAGGCTACCATTTTGTCTAACATCAAATCTGAAATCTTGTTTCTTTGATAATAGTTTTCCAAATATAAATACCAAGAACATTTTTCATCCATCTAACAATGTATCTCTAACCAACAAATAACACATGAGACAATTTATTAGAGATGAATCCGGTATGAGATAGTTGAAAGGCACTAAGCTTGTTGATCAAACATAAAGGTCAAAGAAGACGGCATGAAACTAATCATGCCTAAAAGATAGGGACATCTACTGATGTAGATAACATACCCCTTACAACAGAATAGTTAACCCCCTTTTTGTGCGATATGACATGTTTACTAAGAGAACTGCTGTTTTGTCTGCATCATCTCATCCTTTTTAGTTTACTGGCAGAATTGTTCATGTGTTGACATTTAAATATGATAATTTTACAACAATCTTTGTGCTCAGATGTTTTTGGAAAATTATATCATTTCCTATCCAGCACTAACAAATCTCTTACAGTGAAAATCAACCACATCTAGAAAGTTAACTTGCACAACTGAAAACATAGTCATATTGATAATTAACTCTATACATTTTAGAAATGGTTATAACTTCAATCAATGATATCTATAGCGCAAAACTGATACTAGAACAGATCTGTCCCCAAGAATTCAACTCTAAGACAAAATAAAACAAATCATATTAACTAGGATTCTACAGAGCACTGCATGAACAAAAATCTTACAGAACCTGCTCTGTTCTTTTTTATATATAAGCTTTTGATTCCAAATATGTATTTTTAATCAGTTATATTTTCGGTAATTCGTTTGGATTATATCTCCAGTCTAATCGGTTTTGTAAGATCGCTTTAACTAAATTTAATCTACCAGATATTAGGAAAAAATATTCAACAAAACCAAGTTATTTAGTATTTCACCATTATTCTATAAAAGCTACATCTTTTTCTTTTCTACATTTTTCAAATTCCCACTTGATTGATGGTAAAGCTTATATATCTATTATATTAAAAGAGAAGTGATGACTCACTTCATGTGTGATTTTTTGGTTTAGACTTTCCTTAAACTTTTTATCAAATTTTACATAACATCATTATAATATCTTTTCATATCTTTCATTTTTATTTGAAATACAAATAAATAATTTTAAGAAAATTCTAACAAAATCTTTTAAAAATCTTATAGAATCTTTTCAAGATATAGTTTCAAAAATTATTTGATTAAAAATTTAATTATCATAGAATATAATTAAAATTTTAATTCATTTTTTATTTATAAACAAAAAATTAAAATTATGTAATATACTTTTAACAATATCCCAAAAATTTGTTTATGTATTATGTAGATCCAATTTAATTTACTTTTTATATATATTTAAAATTTAGAAATAAAACAAAATATATAAATTAGTAATGTTACATAAAATGTTTTAAAAAATTGTTACAAAAATACAAATTTATAAATTTTAAATTAATAATATTATAAGTCACATACATATTATTATAAAATTGGATAGTATATACAATCAAATTATATTTATTTATTGATAAATTTTACTTCCTCTGTTTCTTAATATATGATGTTTTGGATCATTGCACAAAAACATAAGAAATTTACATTCTTTTACGAAAGTATTTTTAAAGATATAATTTTATAATCATTCAACCAAATATTAAAAAGAGTAAAATTTTATCGGCTGAACAGTTTCCAATAAAGTTAAAGATAACTTTAAAACCTCAAAATATACCTTGAAATCTCAAAACATCTTATATTTTGAAATAAAATAAATGTTTTAAAACATTATCTATTTAAAACGAAGTGGGTATTATATAATTTCAAATATTTTCGTATTAATATACCCGCACGGTTGTGCGGGTCGAGATCTAGTATATGACTTATTTGAAATGGGTGTTGATAATACATATACATTCCACGAAAAGCATTATTGAGTTATGTGTAATTCGTTGAATTATCACAAAATAAATCAAATGAAAACTAAATAACAAACGGGCCACTCACCAAATTCAACTTTGTATCATAAAACAACTCTCTCTCATTCGTTGGAAAGAACACACAAATCAAATCAAATAAAGAAACGAACGACTTCAGACTTCACGTTGGGCTCGGTTAAAACCCAAAAAATGCTGGATATCCCGATTCTTACCCGTCGACCCGACCCACCTTACGAAACGCCCGGCCACGAAAAACGACAAAACCAAAAGCATGCCCCAAAATAGCCGAGATGAAAACGCCACCATTGAACGAAACAACGGCTAAGATCACAAGGTAGCTGAAGCCAGACTTGACCGCATACATAGCCGTACGAAAGGCCACCTTGGCGACCTTATCAGCCTCAGGTTTGATGGAAGCCGCAGCGTCAGAGCACCGAGTAAACCACTCAGCTAAGAACGCCAAAGAGAAGACAAATAGAAGTGCAAGAGCATACATCGAACGGCTAGAGCCAGGCCATCCATGGAAAAGCACTTCGCAGTTATAACTCCAATAGAAAGTTGGGTGTAACAGTGACGGTCTGTGCGGCGTTTGCATCTGCGTTTGCGTTGTGGTTGTGTTCCATGCCTCGACTACGACGTTGTTTTTACTTGTCAACATATCCTTTAACGTGGGGGTAAAGGAGACTTGGGATGTCGTTGTCGTAGTGGAGATAGGGGTCTCCTCTAGTCTCTCCTATAAAAAGTGTTTCTTCTTGAGGTAATAGATTGGGTCCTACGAATTATATGCTATGTTCTTGTTATGAAGCAAACTCAAGATTTGTTTGTCGGATTTTTCTTTCGAAAAAGCTACACCAGGTACATCATTAAAGTATTTGGCTGTATTATTGTATATTTGTAATCAAAATTCGTTTTTAGCTTATAAACATATTAATGCGAGATATATATATCGTAAGCTAAAATATAATATATATATATCGTAAGCTAGGTAGACGTAAAGTATCTTTTGTACGTCAAATTAATATATTTTTTTGCTAAAGAAAATCATCATAAGTATATAAATGTATTATATTTTCATAGTAAGAATAAGTTTATCACAAGCTAGGCATTACAAAAAGAACAACTGAAATTTCTTAAAAAATTGTGATAAACAAAATTGGGGATATACAAAATTCATTTGCATGATATTTTGGAGAAGAAACATACGATCGAGTCATCGACAAAATATAAATAAATCAGGTTTGTTTGTTTGTTAGTTATATACAATGTAAGAAACTAATCCGTTATTCTGAAATGGCATAGTCATTATCTAGGCTTATGTTTTTCTTTCTCTTTTTTTGGTTTCTCAACTAAATTCTGCTTCTTGTATTGTCTTCATTTTGTAAGAGGGGGACAGACACATGTTAAACGATATGGTCTCTGACTTTTACTTTACTTAAAAAAATAAAATAAAAAAATAGAAGGGGAGCAAAAGGAAGTGAATGAGAGCTATGTTTGTGTTTTCTCATCTTTCGCTACATTGTGAGAGACCTACAATTCGAGTAGAACAAAACCTTAGACCATGATTATCGCGAATACATAAAAAGGGGGTGCTTAAATTTTGTTTTCTTTTTTTTTCTTTTTTTTCAGATTAAAAAAAAAAAAAAAAAAAAACAGAAAAAGGACCAATCGCGGGCCGCCACGTGTCGTGGGGCCCGCAGAACAGTCCAAGCACACATGAAAAGCCGACGCTTATTGGGGCAACAGAAGCGTCGAGTTTTTCTTTATTTGGGCCCCCCCCGTTCACTTTTGGTGCTAAGCGTCGAGCGATAATTGTGCTCTTAAAACCCCACAAGACGAATCTTCTAACTAGTACATCACCATGAATTGGTTTTAGATGGACATCTTGCATACTCCAATCATTTACCATAACAAAAATTATCGTTAATTTCGATCCAAATTTCAAAATGATAATCACTAGGGCATCTTGTAATAATTGCGGTTATGCAATTACATAACGAAAAAATGCTGATTAGCAGTTATTACCTAGTTTTATCAACTATATAATATCGTTTTATTTTAGTTAACCACATCGAAAAATTCTCCAGACTCATCCATTTCATAGGCCTAATTGTGAATTTGATGATGCCGCACTGAGGTGAGAAGAATGGTGCCACTATGGCAGTTCATTCTCCATTCCATCATCAGACTTTGTGTTTATGGATATAGCCAACTAGATAATCATGCCAACATGGTAGACCCAACTTTACACTTTTGTGATGAGTTATCTCTATAAAAGCTACATCTTTTTCTTTTATACATTTTTTTCAAAATCCCACTTGATTGATGGTAAAGCTTATATATTTGAACCATTGGTTTTGAATCTAGATCAATGATCAGTTTAATATAAGTGCCTAGTTCTTTTTTTCTTCAGCGGAAACACTGCCCAAGTAATTAATAAAAAAACATCACAAAAACAACAGGAAGCTTAAGCCGGAACACATGTTGGCATAAGATGAAATCATCATCACCTCATGCGGCACCACCTTTGGACCACCCAACTTGAATTCACACCCAATACATTTCATCACGAACCACACCACGTTCCCAAAATATCAAAGTAAGAGGAAAAGAGATTGTATTGTACACGATGTAGAAACCCCTTGCATAGTTTTCTTTTGTTTAGATTGAAAACGTAAAATCAAATATTCAGGTAGTTTTTTTGCAGATTAGTTTTTTTTTAACAAAGAAAATAAAAAGACAGTTTTTTTAACCCATATGTTTGGTAATTAAATTGGATATTTAGCTGAATAGTTAAATAACTGTATAGCTAATGATGAATATCCAAAAGAGAAGAATGACTTGTGAAACAAAATCATTAAAATGAAGTAACTGAAACTAAAGAGAGAGAGAGAATGTGTACTGTCTCAGAAGACAGAGAATCAGTTTGGACTTGAGTGGCGGTTTCAAAGTTCTTTGCTTCTGTCTGAATCTATACACTAACTAACAATCTTCTTCTTCCTTCCTTCCTTCCTTCTTTCTCTGCCTTTTCATTTCGCGCCACACTCTCTCTCTCCTCTCTCAGTTCTCTTTCTCCTCTCCTGAATTTTTCTTGGTAAGTGGTCCCCCATCTACACACTCTCCCTCTCTTTCTCTTGAGAAACATGACAAGGGAAAGTATGAATTTCGTTTGCTTTCACACTTTAGATGATCCATTGGTAGCAAAAGTTGTTGACTCTCCTATCTAGGTAACTAGGTTCTTACACTTAGATCTGAGTCTCTTGTTTTTGTTCTCTTCCAAGAATAACTATTCAGAATCTTTTTGATATATAAATCCTCCAAGCTTGCTAAGAATTGAGTACATAGTATCAAATTGTATTCAATTTTGACTTCTCTAAGTGAAATTCAGTCTATAACCTTTTGTTTTTTCGTCATGTTTATGTTTAATTGTTGCAGAGTGTTCAGTGTAAAGGTAGATGAAGAAGAATCATCTAAGATTTAGCACTCCTGAATGCAATATATAGAGCCATTTGCGTTGAGGTTACAAGTATGGTGAGGCAACAAAGAGCCTTTAAAGTTCATGAGGACAGATATCAAGGCAAGGATGAGTTGGTGAAGCGTGATATGTTGGATCCACCAAGCTATCTCCGAAGAAGAAGAACTCAAGATATCCGTGGAAAGGCTTTGAGTTTTGGTGTTTTGGATTGGAAACAGTTTGAACATTGCAAGGAGGATTCTACTTCACAAGGAACCAAAGGTCCCTGGTGTAGTTATAACACTGGTTTAGTGGAAGCTTCTACAAGCTCGTTGGAGCTAGATTCAAAGCCCCAAACAGCATTTGTAAGCCCCAAGAAAGAACATCAAGCATCTCTGAATAAGAATCTGGTAGAGAAAGAACAAGGTAAAGCCTCTGAGCTTAGCTCGTTTACTCTTAGCCGCAAGTCAAACGCAGCGTCAGAGACTAGTCCTATGCTTTTATCTGAGACCTTTAGAACAGTTGAATGTCTAGATAGAAGACATGATGGTGATGTTCCAGGTGAATGTTCAAGTTCAGTTAATGTAATGGAGAGGAACCAAACCTCTTTGTTGGATCAAAAGATACCTACAGTGACATCCAACAAGGAAAGACATGCTTCTCCCAGCCGCCGCTTCAGCTTCAGTTTTAGTCAGATGAGTAGAAGTTTCAGCTCCAAAGAAAGCTCATCCTCTGTTCCTCCATTATCAAGCACATCTCATGCTTCAGCTAAATCAGGTCCTTTAACATTCAATGATTCATTTTACTCCAACCACTCCACCAGAACTAGATCAGGCCCTTTAATAATACCAAAGTCTGTAAATAACGTGGCTACAAGACTACCAACCATGGAGAAGAACCATCGCAGCTCAAGATCCCACGCTATCTTGCAATTCACTTTGAGAAAAGGTATCAGTTTGTTTCAGTTTGTAGTTGACAACAACGTTCTTGCTGCCACCATGAAGAGTTCAGGTTCTTCCACACGGTCTTACACATTGTATACCATCAAAGAAGTTAAAAACAAGAGTGGAAACTGGTTAGGTCGTCACAAGAATGACCATCCATTTGTACATACGGTTATCGGTCAAATGAAGACTAACTCGGATTCAGCAACACACAAATCAGAATCTGTTTTGTTCGGTGTTGAGACAAACGAAGAGCTCGCGGCAGCTATTGTTCAGATAAGAAACAGAGTTCAGAAGCAGAGCACAACTACTGTTATACTCCCTAGTGGATTTCACACGCTTCCTAAAGACGGTAACACCAGCCCTTTGCCGTTGATTAAGAGGTGGGAATCCGGTGGATCATCATGCGACTGTGGTGGCTGGGACATTGGTTGCAAACTCCGTGTCTTGTCTAATGATCATCGTGCAAAGTCTCAAACCTTTTCAAGCTTTCAACTGTTTGATCAGGTAACTCTGTTACATTCAATAGTGCATTGATTATGCGAATCATTGTTAACACTTCCAATATTCTTACAGGAAAGAGATGAACCAGCATTCAAGATGGTGACACATGACAATGAACTTCACTCAGTTGAGTTTGGTTCATCGGTCTCTTTGTTGGAAGCGTTCTTTATCTCGTTGGCAGTAAGCAGTCATCAAAATATGAGTGAAGAGGAGGAGGAAGCGGTTTTGATTGAAGATGGTACGATGAAGAGACAAACATCGATAAAGTACGCATCAAACCCACCCGTTTCTCCAATTGGTCGGGTCTAGTGGCAGTGTCATCTGGCTGGGCTTACAACTGTAGTTAAGTGTTTATATAAAATTTGTGCAATGTATAAAAAATAGTGAAAATGCATTTTTGTACCCTTCAACATCTTCAAATCAGCTAATAAAAACATATCATCAAATCCCAATCACTATTGGTCAATTTAAGCAAATATCTAGCAAACTAATTGTAACTAATGGACTTCTACTACATGTATCTAGTATATATCTACTTGTTGTAGTATCATTTTAAAGATGAGAAAATTAACTACTTGCAGTGCTATTTGCTTGGTGTTAACAAATAACATAACATATGGGTTACTGAATTGAAGATTACATTCATTGCTCAATAATTTGAGTTAAAAATAATTTGAGTTTTATTTTAAGTGGTCTAAAAATTCTTTAAAAGATCATTAGTTTAAAAATAGAAAGAATGGTCATTTTTGTTTAATTGTGGATAGACATCTAGACAGACAACTGAACTGATGTGATGATACAACCGTATTTGACAGACATACTTTCCTGCTTTACCCAACTACATACAGTCCCACATGCTCCTCCAAATCATGTCCCCACCACGTGTAGTGTTAATCCTAAATTAATAATTTAAAACCTTTGTATTAAGATGCAAATTGGCCACTACTACTAGCTCTAATCACCCGACATCACCTTTGGAGTTTTAAAATTAAAGCGTCAATAACGGTTGGTGGGTTGTTCATGTCGTGACCATTAACTACTTTTTAGTTTTATTGAGAAAATCTATTTCTGAGACTTTTGTAATATTTGAGGGATACAACTTGTTTCCTATGAAGAATACTACTCTATTGGCTTAATCCTAATAGATTTTTTCACTGATGCATTTTAAAGAAAGCTAATTTCACCGCTTTTTTATCTCTAATTTCTTCTAAAAATATGTTTTAAAATAATGTTTTGTACTTTTTAAAACTGAATTTTACAGTACAACCGTTTCTCCGTGTAGAACTGTCCCATTTAAATCTCAGATTCTGCAGAAAGAAATCTCTTTTCTTCTGATACTTAAAACACTTTTAACTTTCATCTTCTGATCTCTCTCTCTCCCTCTGTTACTTGTTGTTCCCTCGCTGCATCACTCCTTCTTAGATCTTCCATTGACCGTTGACCCCTGAATAACCTTTTTTCAGGCGAGACTAAAAGAACTTATACAAGCATTTAGTTTTTTTTCAGTGGAGTGTTTGGTTTTTGAGCTAAATGATTGACACACTAACTACAAGAAGAAGAAGAAGATGACTATTTACATTCGTCGTAAATCTTCCAAGGTTCTTCATTAAAATTCTCCTAATTTCAACTTCAGGAGTCTTTTACATTTTTGGCTGATTAGTATTGTTGTTTTTTAAACAGCTGTGGAAGAGGTTTTGCTCTGAGATAACAACGGAGATTGGTCTTCTCGCTGAGAACTGGAAGTACCTTCTCGCTGGCATCATCTGTCAGGTGAGTTTCTCAATCTTTAAATCCTACAATTTTTGTTTTGTTGTTATCAGTTTAAAATGATTTTTGTCAGATTCAGATTGAAAACTTTACTTTATCCTGAGTGTTAATGATGAGTGATCAATGGTTTTGTTATAAATGGTAACTTTTGAGAGAAAGCTTTTGCTTTTCCCCCAAACCTTTCCTTTTTCAGCAGAAACATTGTTCTTAAGGATTGTTTCTTGGCTTTTGTGTGTTAGTTTTTTTTTGTTTTTGGTCTTAACAATGTAGCTTTTATGACCTCCTGGATTATATTTGTTTATGTTGTTTCCATCTGCTGTGTGCAGTACATTCATGGTTTAGCTGCTAAAGGAGTTCATTACATTCATCGCCCTGGACCGACTCTCCAGGATCTTGGCTTCTTTCTTCTTCCGGTTTGATCTCTCAGACCTTTCCAGCTATATATATATGCACATTCACCTGATCAGAATAGATATCTTATAGTCCATTGTATAGGAGCTTGGTCAAGAGAGAAGCTACATAAGTGAAACCGTCTTCACTAGTGTTTTTGTTTCTTTCTTCTTGGTGAGTCTCTCTATACATTCAGAGTTTCTTCACCACTCTATATTACATTACATGATTATATTCCGATACTCATTGAGCCTATATTTTGCAGTGGACTTTCCATCCCTTCATCCTGAAAAGCAAGAAGATATACACCGTCTTGATATGGTGCAGAGTGCTAGCATTCTTAGTTGTAAGTTCCCCTGCCATACTAGCTACTATATATGTAGTTTAAGCTTTTGCTGAGGTTACTTTGTCTTAGTCAGTTTTGATATTTTTCTTTTTTTTTTCAGGCCTGCCAGTTTCTTCGTGTTATAACTTTCTATTCAACTCAGCTTCCTGGCCCAAACTATCACTGCCGTGAGGTAAAGCAAACTGAGAATCCAATCCATACACAAAGGTCTCATCTCTGTGTCTGAATGATTAAGTTTTATGTGTTTCCAACTTTTGCTACAGGGCTCTAAAGTTTCGACGTTGCCATGGCCCAAAAGCCCTCCTGAGGTTCTCAAGATTAACCGTGAGTCTGCATGTTTTTCTTTCCTTTCCCAAGCATGTATTTCTTTGCTTATGTTCTCATGTGATGATGTTGGTCTCATCAGCTCATGGGGTGATGTACGGATGTGGAGACTTGATTTTCTCATCGCATATGATATTCACGCTAGTCTTTGTCCTCACTTACCACAAGTACGGCACCAAAAGGTATAACTTAATCAACTCTCTAGGAAATACCTTTAAAAGCTACTTTGTAAAAAGACATCACTGCATCGCTCTTTTGTTTATATACTATGTCTCTCAGGTTCATAAAGCTGTTTGGGTGGCTCATTGCTTTCGTGCAAAGCCTCTTGATCATTGCCTCTCGTAAACATTACACTGTCGATGTTGTTGTTGCCTGGTATGGTTTACTACTATCACGCAAAGAAAGTTATTGTAAGAACTTTTCTCTGAATACAAAGATAATGACATTTTTTATATTCTTTCTCTGTTTAGGTACACCGTTAACTTGGTTGTGTTCTGTCTGGACAAGAAATTACCAGGTTTGGTCTCAGAGCACTCACTTGTTGTCTAATTTGAGAGAGACTTGGTTTCTCATGTCTTCCTTTTTTCTCAAATATATGTACACTTCAGAGTTACCTGATAGGACTACGGTGTTGCTCCCTGTAATCTCTAAAGAGAGGACCAAAGAAGAGAACCACAAGTTGTTGAATGGGAACGGTGTTGATCCTGCTGACTGGGTAAGCATCTGAGCTTGTTTTTGTTCTCCTTCTCCGTCTGAACCAATGATCTTTAGTGTTTTTTTCTTTCGGTTCTGTTTAGAGACCGAGGGCTCAAGTGAATGGGAAGATAGATGGCAATGGAGTCCACACTGATAATAACTCAATGAACGGCGCATGAAAGCTTGCACCTGATTTGAGACAATATCTATATTTGAATACAGCTAATCAATGGCGTCATGAAGACATGTTGGTCATTGTTCCAGAAAAGAAAAACACACTCATAGAGAGATGTTAGGGTTATGCTAATATGTACATTTTTTAGTTCCTTGACTCGCAAGTAATCACGTTGTTTTTATTTTAGGTCAATTTTGTTATAAGAAATTGTGTTTGATCTTTGAGACGATGTTATGCATGTGTGTTTATTTACCTCTCCAGCTTTGAACATTTATTATTTATAACAAAAAGGTTTTGGTTTGAATAGTAAATGTTTTTTGTTTCTATATATACAAAGAATAAAAAAACTCATATATATAGTAAGAACTTTTGTTTGTCTTGAATGCAAAGAGCGATACATTTCGAGGTTTAAGATGACGATGAGACATGGAAATGAAAGAGCCAAGATATGACGAAGCCAAAGACCATACAAGCTAACACTATATTCACTACTCTCTGTGGCTGCCACCTGTTCTCTATCGCTATTGCTGCTGCTACTGCTGCAGTCTCCTCACCGCCTCCACCGTTTCTCAACTCTCTTTCCTCCACTGTTGACGTCACATGCATTTCGTTCGCACCCCCCACGTTTTTGGCTACCGATTGGCAAATCTCACAGATTCTGTTACAATAAAAAAAATTTATGTTAATCCTCCTATAGTTTTTATCAAGTTTTTAGTGTTTAAGTCGATCGATACGATAATAATACATCAACACCAAAAAAAATTACGTGCTTAATTAATTGTAGAACTAATCACGTAAAAATAAAAATTATGTTAAGCGGCCATTCAGTTCAAAACTCTTTTGTTATTTTTTTTTAATTTTAGAACTAATCTCTAAAACTAAGTCAATATTTTTCTACCAGATATAAATAAATCAAGAAAACGCCCTATAATCAATAAATAAAAAAGTACCCTACGATCCCTCACCCTTTTCCTCGCCACATCAACTATTGTGCAAGAGTATGGACTCGCCGGTTCTTATCGCTACTATATCACTGTTGCGTCTCCATTACATTATGCCGTCTCAAACGTCGACGGTTCTTCACAAAGTCAGCATTGCAACCCTTCCATCGGAGCTGGAATCTTCTACAGAGGTTCTTGGACTTCTTACTATCATAACCCATTAATTGGGTTCTTCAACGTCGATCTCGACTTCTGTGCGTTTCTTCAAACGCGGGTTTTAAGAATACAAGTGAAGCTTCTCTATGGGTCTCTTCTCTTCTTAGCCACTTTTATCTTTCATCATGTGTTAGTTAACTTTGTTGATCAGCTTATCATCAAGGATCTCTCCGGTTGTAGTCGACTTTGCCCATTGGACTTTTAATTTAATATAAGTATTTGGTGTTCAAAAAAAAAAAAAGTACTATAACGCAAGATTTTTTTTAAAATAGCTGAAACCCGCAACTCACTGCAGAAAGCAACATAATCTCCTAAGAATGAATCCTAACAAATAACAAAACTCTTAATCACGTTAATAAAAATAATTCAAGTTTTTTTTTTATAGAAAGTGATTAAGAACACAATTAAATAAAAGTAGAACAACTAAACCAAAAAAAAAAAAAAGAGAGAAGGTAAAAGTAGGTTACTAACTTGTCGCCTTTGATCTTGAACCAAGTTTCAGCACATTGTCTATGAGCAATAGCCAAATCTTCCTTACACGAACACCCTAACTCCATCGCACCTCCACCGCTCGTTTCCACCACCCCTAAATGACATATCCTACAGTCTTTCTCCGGCGCCGCCCTCGCATCATCCTCCCCATCATCATCATCATCATCATCATTATCATCCATCACCGACGACACTTTCCTAGACTCTCCTCCTTCGTATTCGTATTCGTACGGTCCTACCGTCGTCGAATAAAAATACGAGTAACATGACGTCATGTCTTCCCCGTCTGAATAATATACGCTGACGTCACTTCCACCGAATGACCGTCGGTGATAACCGTACGCCGCTCCTTGTTCTAAATCAATGATCTCTGTCATTTACTAAAGCTGGAAGATTATGTTTTTCCTTCTTTAATGCCACGGTAATATAATTTTGAAATGATTTAAAGAAATGGGTTTAGGTGGATTTGGTGAGTCTCTCCTACTTACAAAAAAAATCTTTTTATAGTAACTGTGTAACGAAAATGAAAGAGGAGTGAGTACTGATGGTGGTGGAGCAGGAACGAGCTTGAGAACAGAGTGATGATAATGACACTAAGTTATATAGGAAGAAGACATTGTTCTTGGATCAAGAATCAATTTGTTATATATAACAAAAAAAGAATAATGACAGATTAAAGAGATAAAAAAAAAGGAAAGGGAACAAGTTTCTACCAAGTTTAAGGGATGTTGGTTCCGAGTAGAGAGATTTTTTGTACAACGTTTAAGCGACGTGATCTTCCATCTTTACTATGTGCACCGCATCCAACGGCTTATATTGCGGGATCAGCTGATTATCTCTTTCAAAAAGTAATTTCATAGTTGAAAAATCAGTTCTGTCCTCGATCTTTTTGAGAAACAAACATAAATAGAAACAATACAGGGGTGTTTATGTCATTAACTTGTAGAATATATCCAGTTTTGGATTTACTTTGACCCCTTCCTGCGTCAGACCAATCTTATCACGGCTGGATCTCCTTGGCTTTAATTTTGTACAATGGTACCATCTACGGTCTAAGATTGGGTTAACATAATCACATTTATTCTTAACATCAGGTGCATATTTCCATCTTGTCATATCATCCTCAGATTCTCTTGTCACACTATTATATATGGAAGTCATATCGTGTATGAAGCTAACAATGGAACATCAACAAAAAGCAACAATATCTACTATTTAATGTCAGAGACCAGCCAAGTAAACAGATCTAAAAACTAGATTAATTTTTTTCTTTATTGAAGAAGAAAGATATTTCAAACAAGCAAGGAATATCGGTTTTTTTTCATAAAGCCATAGAGATTAAAATTAAAAAGGAAATGGGAATCTCATTTTCCACGTCAAAATGTTGAACCACCATGGACAGACACCAAAGGAATAAAAGAAAGAAAGAAACAAAAAGAGTTAAAACGAATTTTGACGGGAAATAATTAATAAGAAAACAACAGTTTATCAAGTTGGTGGTGGGTCTGGTTCTAGTGTTTGTTTCGTTTGAATCTTTAAATAAGTTCAGTATCTTAGGTGAGAGTTAACTATCAAAACTCTAACTATTTGTTGTTCTTATTATAAAGATTGTATAAAGACGCTCTAGATGGTCGTCAAAACGGTATCTAGACGCTAAGTGATCATATAATATGGTAATTATTTATGCGTTGGAGTTAAGTGTTTGTGTTAAATTAAGTGGAGGTAGACGGTTATGGGTGGTCTTACTCTTAAGGAGATTTAAACAAATCTTAGTCACAGTTCTAAACGTTTTCTTTTTTCTTTTCTTTTTGACTCTTTATGGTTTGTTCGTTAATGAACATCGAAAGTGACAACACAAGTAGCTGCTCAGTCTCAGCAGTTTCATGCTCAAACTGGAAAAGTTGTTTATGCAAGACCAGAAACTGGACGTATCTAAATGTTAAGTCTTTGTTTTGGTCAGCAGAAACATATGACTGGTGAGTCGGTGAGCCAATTCAGGTGGACAGCTTAAATGAATTACAAAAATGTTTATCAAAGAATTATTTTATAATGTTCATCTTATGGTCTAACTTGAGTTACAAGTTTCCCTTCACTTCTCTCTAAGGTCTATAATATTATTCCCTACAACACACCTATGCACACCACACCTTCTATTCAACTTAGATCTGTATCCCAAATTAATACTCTGCAAACTGAAAAGTGAATCCATCTTGTATGTACTTAACTGGTCTTGCCATGTTAAAATACTCGAGATACTATATTCTCTATGACTCTAAAGTCAACACTTAGTATAGGTCAATACATACTCTGTTAATGCTTGGTTACTGATATGATAGGCCTAGCGTATGAACCTTTTGAATTGCAGAAATAGAGTGATATCCACTAACATGAAGAACTAGTCAGGAGCTAACAAAAGGAATGAAGGATTGCATTCTTACAAACTGTGTGATCTACATTACTGTTAAATCATATAAAAGATCTAGAAGCTTGCTTAAGCTAACTGAAAGGAAGTGCGTTTTTCATTCTGTTGATTGATCATATTATGTCAACTGTGACTTCTCTGTCTGCAACTCTTGGCTGAAGAAATAAAAAAAAAATGTTAAAAGTTAGGACATGTTGAGATCTGTGTTATGGTTATACTTATATCATATGATAGTGAGAAAGAGCAATTACCAGGACTTAAGATTCGTAAGCACTTTGTTGTGGACTTTACAGTAGTCATGGAGTCGGATCATGCAGTCTCTATGTGACAGTTTGAGGGTTGTGTCAGGTAAGGATCTGGCATTCCTTGACAAGCAATATCGAAATCGACAAGCACCTCTGAGAATGGAAAGTTGTCGCTCAGAAAATCTATGTCAAACAAATCAACTTCTGGTTCAGAGCCAGATGAAGAAGTTGAGACCAAATCCCCAGAAGCAGGTGGTGCATCTAAGTTCATTGTTGCTTCAGTGTCATCGAAGTTGAGCCTTCCTTTCACATGATCTCTTTTACTCGACATCATTGCATTAGACTGAACCGGGGAGACAGAAGAAACCATCTCGTTCCTTTCCATTGTATAAGAAGTCATTTGCTTGTGAGGACTGACTGTGATTCTCTCCTTAGTGACGATTGTGCAGTTTGCAGGAGTAGTAGATACATCACTCTGAGAAGAGGCTTCCTTTTGTGGTGTCTTCAGACAAGCTGAATTAGTCGGAGGTGACACGTCTGAGCTGGTAAACAAACACTTTGTTACATTGTTATTCACTGGCGTTTTTGTATTGGTTGATGTTTGAAACGTCAAGTAGTTAGTATCTCTAGCAGCTCGTTGAATCTTTCTCCTTTCTGTAATAGAGAAAAGAAGACACAACACAACGTTTAAGGACAACCAATGGAGACTTAAAAAAAAAAGGTATCAACACCAAATGAAAAAAAAACAGACTTTGCTGTATAAGGACCTTTGTTAGAAACAGAAGGAACATCTTGTACAGGAACCTCAGGACTCTTGCGCTTTTTGGTTATAGATTGACTGCTAGAAGGTGCTGTGAAATTCCCAACTCTTTTGTTTCCGGGCAATGATGCTGCCATAAGATTAGGTGTGTTGCACACTCTGCCGCCTGGAAAATAAGAACATGTCATTAGTTCCATTATAAAAATCAAGAAACATACATCAAGATAAGGTTATTATATATTCTACAGCATCTTTCGAAAAATTAAAAATTCTCTGGATACTAATCAACCAACCAAGTCTGTGTTATCTTGTGACACAAAACCAACATAGCATTTAGGTAGACAGTTATTAATGATTAGCCAAAACCAGAGATCATCAAACAACTTCAATCTATAACAAAAAAAATTGGCAATACAAAAAAGTTGTAGTCCTTGTAATAACCCAAAAAGCAGTAGTATTAGTACCTGAAGGAGAGACACTGACGTTGCTCGGTTGAGAAGTAGAGGCAGCCACTTGGATAGCTGCCGTAATCGCTGCAGGAGTTGGATGAGGAGGTGATGCGGTGGAGTTGTAAGCGTTCATGACATTCTGCATCCCATGTAATAGATTCTGAACACGAGTCTTCTCCTGATCAAGCCTCACTGTTCCTTGATCGACAATGACTTTATGTTCCTTGAGGCTGATGTATTCGTTCAAAATATCATCCAGAGGTATCAAACTGCACTGAACCTAATAAAAGGGGAAGAATCTTTATAAGAAAACCATTTAAGAGGGAACATCATTATATAAAAAAAAAAAATTAACAGAAGTGGGAATTTACTTGGCGAAGAGGAGATTTGGAGATGAGAGAAGAAGCTTCGGATCTGAAGATGGATCGTGTCTCTAAGAATCTATTGTCGCATAGGTATCGATCGACAAGGAAAGCTACTTGCACTGGAGTTACTTTACCCTTCCCTATACGCTCTCCACTCTTCGATTTGTTCGACCTCGCCATTTTCTCCGAATCTTAAAACCCTAAGATCGAACTGTTGAAGCGACTGAGACAGAGAAAAAAACAAAACGGGAATGAAGCTATCTGGATCGTATATATATATACACGAGAGAGAGTGATGTGATTAGAGAAGTAGTAAACGAAGGAGCGGTATGGGGGGGAGCGGGAGATTTTCGAGCGCCACTAGAAACGTTGGTTTAATTTCGATTTTGCGTCTGGTTCTGGCGCTAACTCCTTTTTTTTTTGTTTGTTGTCAAAATTGGAACTGAACCGTTCGGTTCAAGTACTTGGGCTTTTTATTTGGGCCATCGGGTTGGGCTGATTTGTTTTGAATATATACAGAGCTGAGTACTGTTGGACTGTCTTAGAATATGCTTGGCGCACTATTTTAAATCATAAGATAAAGTAATGTTTTTTGTTTCATTGATAGGCCCCATTATTATCTTATAAAGTTTTACGAACGAATATTTTCATAAAGCCAATGTACTTATGTGAGTGCTAAAGACATTACAGTAGGTTGGGTTCAAATTTGAATGGTTTATTTATGTGAATGTTCAAGATAACAGTTCTGTGGTTCTCTGACGAACTGAATTTACAAAGCTTTAAGATTATTTGCTTTAAGTTTTTTAAGTTCAACAAGTTGCCTTCAACGGTTGTGCTTTAGTGGTCTCTGTTGGTATATGTTATTCGTTGTTTGTCTTACCGATATGTATAGGCAAATTTTTACATTCGACATCTAGTTGTTCTTCATCAATATCTAAGAATGAAAAACAAGGCTTATTATCAAAAATTGGTGGTCTATCAGATCTCAGCGTATTCTGTTTAGTATCTGCAACTCCTATTTTGGAGATTTTAAGATAGATAACGCAGTTTTATAATTCACATCACCGATCTGATTCTAATATCAAAATTACAAGTTGTTCAAAAAGGTAAAGTTGGATCTCAGTTTTTTTATGGTTTCTTCAAACTCCTTGAAGGAGACTTGCAGAAAGATAACGCAGTTTAGTAAACTTATTAATCATCGATCCAATCAGTGAACGTAAAAACAAAACGAAGTTTTTATAAGAACACGCAATAGAGAAAGAGTAAAGGAGCATCTCAGAATCGAAAACCCCATGTTTATCTTCACTAGCAATCAAAGTGCAAGGATAACAATTTTTTCATGGAATTCATCACAGTTGCTCCACTACGCTCAAACTAGAAAGAACAAAATAACACTCTAGAGAAAAAAAATCAAATCTAGCTTAACCCATCAATAACCAGTCAAAGAAAACAGTCGGCGAACAGATATTCAGAATCGAAAATAGGCTTAGAGAAATATTTATACAAGGCGCCGATTAAAAGAAGACAAAACCCTACTCTTCTGTTTGGTAACGCATACTCCGTATATCTTAATCAACGGAATATGGGCCTTACCACCGAGCATGGGCCTTTGTATAGAAGGAAGTAACACAAAAACAGAAACGTATCAAACTGATTCTGTTCCAAATCTTGGCCACCATGCAAATACCAACAATGACGCGTCGTTACAAAACTTCTCGATCTTTCCAATAAATCCAAACATTCCATTTGAGTTTATCCATATCTTCGTTATATACACGCATACCTTGTCAAATGCTAACCACACATTCGTGTTTAGCAACCAAACTGATAAATAACAAAACCCTGTCGGAATCCTTTTTTTCTTGTCGTAAAAGCTTACACAATGGGAATGGTTTTTGGTAAAATCTCTGTGGAGACACCCAAATACACCGTCGTCAAATCCTGCGACGGTTACGAGATCCGTGAATACCCACCGTCCGTTGCCGCTGAGATCACTTACGACCCTTCCGAGTTCAAAGACAACAAAGACGGTGGCTTCTCGGTGTTGGCCAAGTACATAGGCGTGTTCGGCAAGCCTGAGAACCAGAAGCCTGAGAAGATCGCCATGACTGCTCCTGTGATCACCAAGGAAGGGGAGAAGATCGCCATGACTGCTCCGGTTGTGACCAAGGAAGGAGGAGGAGGGGAGGCCAAGAAGACGGTGACGATGCAGTTTCTGTTGCCGGAGATTTACAAGAAGGCTGAGGATGCGCCGCGTCCGACGGATGAGAGGGTGGTGATTAGGGAGGAAGGAGGGAGGAAGTATGGTGTGGTTACGTTTAGTGGAACTGCGGCGGAGAGTGTGGTGAGTGAGAAGGTGAAGAAGCTTACGAGTGATCTCGAGAAAGATGGGTTTAAGATCACCGGAGATTATGTCCTTGCCAGGTTTAATCCTCCTTGGACGTTGCCTCCTTTCAAGACCAACGAAGTCATGATCCCTGTTGAATGAAAAAAAAAAAAACACTATCCAAAGTTTTATAGCTTTTGGTCTCAAGAACTTGTCTTTCCCACAATAACGTATACAATGCGAGAGGGTTTGAGTTTAAATTTCTATAGAATGAATATGAATGAATCAATGACAAAGTTCTTGTAAAAGAAGTGTTTGGATTGAATTATTAGAATCTACTTTATTTCGTTTTTAACCGGAGAAGAGCTTGAAAACGATGACGATTAAGTTAAAGAGCATGAGAGGAAGTCTCATGTAGTGGCAGGCGTGGATGAGACCAACGATTTGGCCTTTGAGGGAGTTTCTTTTGCCGGTTTGGTGAAGCTCTGTGAGTGTCCATCCTCTTGGAGCTAAGAAACGGTCTTCGTTGAGGATAGCAAGTGCGTTTGCAAATAGCAACAACCCTTCCATTAGTGTCCAGAATCCCATGATGATTTTCTCTGTAACACACATCACCAAATGATTGAGAAGGATCAAGAATCATGCGGTAAAGAGTGGAATCAACTTGAAATACTCTACGCGTTTGCAAAAGTGTCCAGAACCCATGAATTCTCAGTGAGACACAGAGGATTGAGAATCATGATGAGTCAGAGAGTGGAATCATCTATCAATGGAAATGGACCCACATGTAAATAAATACTCTATACAAGTGGTCAAAGCCATGAACATAGCAAATGGGAGAATCTTAATTCTAAGTTAGCACATGGAAAAATGAATTACCAATCAAAAATGCAAAGCAATAATAGAAATGAATAAAAAACTCTGTTGGTTTGCCAGTACTATCTTACAAACAACCTCTTCAATAGACAGAATGAAATAAACATGTCCAAAAAAATAGCAAGAAGCATAGAGCTAAGAACACAATGTGGTTTATTAAACACAATTGCACAAAAAAAAACAGATGATCATTTAGAATGCAGAAACTAGAGAACTTAAAATTCATAGATTATCACATTCTATCTTAGCTATAATAATCTCATCTCTAAACGGATTTCTTGTAAAATTCAAGCACACTCATTGATTTGATAGACTCATTTCCCTAACCCTAAACGTCGATACCAGATCTCAAAACTGAGAGAGAGAGAGATACTTACATGTGAGACGAAACGGACGGGTTTGAGAATCGAATTGAATCGAGGTTGTTCAAAGGGTTATAGATCTTCTTGATGATCAGGAAGCTTGCAAATATGAAAAAAAAAATCAGAATCGGCTTTTTTCGAGGATTGATCCAAGAGGTTCGGGTCAAGATTTTATTTTCTGATTAATGTTTATGATCATTAAATAATCAATAAATCAGAATGGCGCAGCGGAAGCGTGGTGGGCCCATAACCCACAGGTCCCAGGATCGAAAAACCTGGCTCTGATAAGTTTTAAATGTTTTTCTTCTTTCTCCACACTCAATTTTAAACACTGCGGGAAGACATGGACATGGAAACGGACCAAATCAACCAGCTCGATGTCGGAAATCTTCTCGCTTTCAATTCCAATCACCGCTTCCCTTCTCCTTCTTCTTCTAGGTTCGTCTTTCTCTTATTATCTACGTGTTGAGCTCTTTGGCCGCGGCTTCTTTTTTTTTCTCTGTTTAGTGATTAACTTTGAGGTAGGTTTTTTTGTTCTTACTCATTAGGAAAAAACTTCGATTTACTGAATTAAGGGAGGAAAAGTAGGCATTTTTAATTGTAAAGCTTGTTTTTTTTTTTTTTTTTTCTGGTTGAACATCTTTTTCTCTGTTATAATTAGGGGAAAAAATGCTGAGTTACTTGTTACTGTTGTTTATTGACTTAGGGAGGAGCTTGTGAAGGAATGCGTTACGGAGGGAACTAAACTTGTTCAGGCAATAGCTGATGTTCTTTTCAACTTATCTTCTACTGATTCTAATGATGGTCCTCTTGTTCAGTTGCCTCGTCCTTCTACTAAACTTCCTAGAGAGAAACATGTAAGCTCCTCCACTTCTCATGAGACAACGAATGTTGTGATAGTATGTGTTTATTAAGTTTGCGAAATGAAGCAGCACATGGTATGTTTTGAGATGCTATTAAGCATGCTAACCTTCTCTGTTTTCTTTTTCTCTTCCATCTTCCAAGGCCTAAGCCTCCTACAAAATGGGAAGAGTTTGCTCTCAAGAAAGGTAAAGCTGATTGCTTATTTGTTTTGAGGCTTGGGTTAACAACCTTTTTGTTCTATAGGTTCATGATAAAATTGTTTTTGGTTCTGTTTTTAGGTATACAGAAGCGAAAGAAGGACAAGATTGTATACGACGAAACAACTGATAAGTTTAAGCGTCGCCATGGTTACGACCGTGTTAACGATGATAACGATATTCCCATTATTGAGGCAAAGGCAACAGATGGTAGGTCTTGCACTAAAGAAAATACTTTCTTATCTGTTGCTTTAGATTATTTTGTAAGCTTCTTGATGAAACCATATGTGCATTTACAAGTTTTTCTTGCTAACTGCAGAACCAAGAGAAGACCCTTTTGCCAAGAGATTGGATGAGAAAAAGAGAGAGTTGGGAAGCAAGAAAAGAATCGACTTCAGAATTTGAAGACAGCTGCAAAAGCTGGTGCTTTACCTAGGTATATTAACAACTTCTTCGATTACCATTGCAAGTTAGTAAGTATCATTCCACCTTGTTTCATGGTTTTGATAACTAGTAAAGATCCAAATCGTTTTACTTGCAGCCATGTCCAACTTGCTGTAACCGCATTGCCCATATCAGGCACCAAAACTCAGCCACAGAAAATTGGAAAAGAAGCACTTGGAGATGTAGCGGGTTTTGCTTCTACTTCAACCGCTAGTGGTGGTAAATTTGATAAAAAGTTGCCTGGAGAAAAACCTCCTAAGAAGCAAGGCAAACATCACAAAGTAATTCACATATAGTTTTACCTTATCTTTCAGTTAATTTATCTGTTCTTTCTAATTTGTATGTTTTAACAGTATTTACCAGTTTTACCACGCTATGGAGAGGTGGATGAGGAAAAGGAACAGACTAATAAAGTACTTAGCAAGTTATTATCAAAGCATTCACATGAGATCCTCAACGTCGGAAAGGTAAAACTGAAAAACTTCTCACAGGTCTCTTGGCTCTGATGTGTTTGTGTTAATCTGTTGATTTAAATGTGATATAGGCGATAGACATGTACAACGACTACAAGGAGAAAAAGAAGTCAGGAAGATCAGATAAGTTGAAAGCTAAGAAAGACATCACCAAGAAGAAGCCTTATGCTCAGAAAGCCAAGTGAAGAGACTCAACCTTGTTTTATTTACCTCTCTCTCATACCAAAATGTTACAAGATTTTGTGTTTCATATTTGTCAAGGAAATCCTCTATATATTTAGTCACCAAAACACAATTTAATTTAATCTACAAATGGAGTTGAAATAGTCAGTGAGACTATAAAGTCCACAGTTTCAAACCTGATCAAACCACAATATATGTATAAACCACACATTCACTGCTGTGTTTACATGCAATCTCTTTAGTTATTCTGTGTTTCTTACATTCAAAGTAGAGAAGTTCAAAAGACCAACTCTGTCTGTTTTCAAACCTTTAGCCACTCCAGACAAGGACACAAACCCCAGCAGAACCTCGCTGGATAATAATCTTTCATATAAATCTCTTTACCAAAACCAATAATGTAAAAGTTGAAGGCCTTCCCACGATCTTCCATCGTGACGCGTGTCACAGGCACAACAGATATAGCATGTCTCTCGCAAACCACATTAGCCGTTGGTGGAACTTCAGCTCTCAAAGAGATGACTTCTGAGGAGAACTTGTTTAAGAAGTATGAGTCTGCAAAGTAAGCCGGTGTGCACTGGTAAGCTTGTGTGTTGCAAAGCTGAACACCTTCTGCTCTGTGGAACACCTCTTCTGGTACCGAACCAGCTCCTCTTGTTGCACTCACTTTTCGCTTCGACAGAGTCTTCCTGTCAAAACACAACCAAAGCTTTCAATAGCCACACAAAGGTCTTAGACATTTGATGAAAGCTTACCATTTCACAACTGCGATACTGCTTGTCAGAAGAGAGCCAGTACCATTACAAGTCTCGCATTTGATTAACCCGCGAGATTGGCAATTTGGACAAGGAAGCTTTCCTTCACCATTACACTCTTTACATCTGTGGACCATAAAAAAGAAGGTTCACAGTTTGCATTTACAACCATCAAACTGCAAGTTTTATGTTCTTGAAATGAGACTTTACATTGAGTCTGATCCATCTTTATGAGCAATCAAACCTCTTCCATAACAAGAAGAACACTTCATCATCTGATTCTCCTTGTAAAACCCCGGCTCTCCATCAGCATTGCACGTTGGACATACAACTTCTCCTCTTCCTGTGCAACCTATTTATCAAAATGCCCTCATCAAGATTATGATCATCCTAACGGTAACTATGTACATACAAAGATATTGTTTACCTGTGCACTTATCAACACTCTCAGAATGAGGAACCGGGACTCGAGTTTCTTTGTACGGAACAAAGAGAGTAGGAAACTGTGATCTCAGGTCTAATTGCCATAACTCAGGAGCAGATCCATGTTTTTTCCCGTTGAAACTCCCACCAGTGAAAGGCACTGTCTGTGTTAAAGCTTCCCTCTCTTCAATAAAAGTGTCGAGAGTTCCCACATAGACATTGCAGTCTTCAACAGCACGAATCTTCCAAGTGCGAGCAGGACGGCTTCCCCAACAGCAACGATGGCCAATGTGGTCAATAAGCAGCTCTCTTATCTCAATCTCATCAAGTACCTGCCTGAAAGAACAAAAGTAAATAAAGTTGAGAGCATAGTGCATCCTAACAAGAGCAATTAGATTAAAAGTAGGAACCTTTACTTCATGGGCTTACCTTTGCAACTCAAGACCTGCTCCAGATGCAGTTGGGTAGCCAATAGCTTCCGCTTTGAGACAGCCAAACAAGAAAGTCAGAATCTTTAAACAGAGCAAATGATTATCATAAAAGGATGAAACTTTTCACATTTTAAGGATCAGAATATATGGAAGGAGACGAGACTTACGAGTGGGCAACGAAACAGGGGTTGTTAACACGGGAGGATAGAGAGGCGGAGGATCGGAGACAGCGGAAGCGGAACGGACTTCCTCGGCGGTGACGCCAGCTCCGGCGAAGGAAACGTTGTTACGAGCAGAGGAGCTGTTTCTCTGAAGGTATTGGTATGAATCCCATCTCTCGGATTCCTTTGTTTTATCTGATCAAACAAATAAACATTAACTGATGATGAGAGGATTCAAAAAAACAGAGGAGGAGGAAGTTTGGTTCTTTGAATTGAATACCTGAAAGCAGAGGCTTATCCATTGATCACGAATCTCTCTCTCTCTCTCTGATTCGCTCTGTGCTTTTCAGAGACCGATATAGAGAAGAAAGAAGAGACTTTTCTTACAGAGTAAGGAACATCACCAAGTCAATTCCGATCCTATTTTGTTACTTCCTTTCTCGTGATCACAAGTTTTTCATTACAAGAAGCTACAGGAAAGTTTTTCTTGTCGGGTTTGAGTCCGGTCGGATCCGGATAAGATCGGGTCATTAAAGTGTGCAACGTGTGAAACAAACGGTTGAGAAGTTCACCCACCTCTGATTTTGCAAGTACGTGTAAGATCAGAGAATAATTATTGCACTTGCCACTTATGGTCAATGTCTTTAAAGAGTTTACCAAAACAAGCAAGGAGGTTACACTATTAATGGGAAAGATTCAACATTTAAATCACTATAATGGGATGTGGATTACACTATGTTGAAATTTTTTTACTAGTTGAATAAAAGAAGAAAATAGAGACCACTGAGGATACATGTAATTTTTCTAAAGTTTTTTCACATTTTCATATCTTTTTGTTTTTTAAAATTAATTATTTTATTATAAACTAAATAATCTATTTTTATTTTTGATATGAAACTTATCATTTTAAATTCTCTATTAATAGAAACTAAGTTTATTTAATTTGAATATTTAAAAAATAATCATTAATTCATAAAATATAGTTTTGAATTTTATTAAACAAAATTATTGTAGTGGATAAAAGTTAAATATGTATTAAATAATGAGATGGAATAAAAAAGATAATGTGGCATGTAAAAAGATGAAGTGAAGAATGTTGAATCTTGAAACCAATGTCCATAGTCTAACACATTTACATGGGTGCATTATGTTAAGATATGTCTAGATAAGTCAAGGATCACAGATAATGATGTAAGTATTGTAGATAAAAGCCAATATTATTGGGGTCTATCTCGAGTCATGTACGTATAAGGAAATAACTTAGGACTTATCTAGACATATCTTAACACATTATCAGCAACAACCAAACACAAAATGTTAAATATTTAAATCACAGAAGGTTACAGACTAAGAATATTTGTAGCCTTTGTTAGTCATCATCACCAAGCTGCAATTGGATTTTAGGTATGAAATGTATTTAAATTTAAACTTAATATAGATGTGGAATAAATAAGGTTTGAAAAAGACAAGAGTGTGTAGTAGTTTCACTACCGACATCATCTCGCGTCCACATTTTGAAAATTTTGCACCTTCTCTCTCTCTCACGCTTTTGCAAAGTTTCAATCTTTCATTGCGGATTCTCTCTTAAGATCACTTCTTGTGTGAATCTATCTCTTCTTAAGTTCTATTACTTACTCTCTCTCTCTCTTCTTCCTCCTTCAGACCATGGCTGTCTCAATTCCATTATCGTTTCAGATTCTTCTTCTTCTTCTCTTAACTAGAGCGGTTCTTTCGTCTTCTTCCGAGTACTTAATCGGTGTGGGAAGCTATGACATCACTGGTCCCGCAGCTGACGTCAACATGATGGGATACGCTAACTCAGAGCAAATCGCGTCAGGGATTCATTTCCGTCTACGAGCTCGTGCCTTCATCGTCGCTGAGCCTCAAGGTAACCGCGTCGCGTTTGTGAATCTTGACGCTTGTATGGCGTCTCAGATCGTTACTATCAAAGTTCTTGAACGACTCAAGGCAAGGTACGAGTGTTAAGAAACCGTGTCTAGTGATATACAAGAATATTGTAATAATAATATTAGAGTTATGTTTCATTTTGTAGATATGGTGATCTTTACACAGAGAAGAACGTGGCAATAAGTGGGATCCACACACATGCTGGACCAGGAGGGTATCTTCAGTACGTCACGTACATTGTCACATCTCTTGGGTTCGTTCGTCAATCTTTTGACGTTCTCGTTGATGGCATTGAACAAGCCATCATGCAAGCTCACCAAAGTCTACGTCCTGGTTCTGTTTTTATCAACAAAGGTACTCTCTCTTTTGTCTTCTTTAATAATGTTTTCTTGAACTCAACCATTTTATGTGTGTGTGTGTGGATATTAGGAGATCTTTTGGATGCTGGTGTGAACAGAAGTCCTAGCTCTTATCTAAACAATCCTGAAGCTGAGAGGAGTAAATATAAGTATAACGTTGATAAAGAAATGACGCTTCTCAAGTTTGTTGATTCAAAGTTGGGACCTATTGGTAGCTTTAACTGGTTTGCAACTCATGGGACTTCCATGAGCAGGACTAACTCTTTGATTAGTGGTGATAACAAAGGCGCAGCAGCGCGTTTCATGGAGGACTGGTTTGAAAGTGGACAAAAGATCCCTCGCCGAGTATCAACCATTGTCTCTGATCTGAGCACGAACCGTGAGTCTTTTGAGTTACTTACCTTATGTTGGCAAATCTATGACAAGACTGATCATGTGGTTTTATTTACTTTTCAGACAGTAGGCTTTTGGATATTGCAGCTTCTTATAAGTCATCTAAAGGACAGTCTCTTGATGCTAAAGTCAGAGTAAGAAAGGAGCCATTCGTCTCTGCCTTCTGTCAATCAAACTGTGGTGATGTGAGTCCAAATGTTCTTGGTACGTTTTGCATTGACACTGGACTGCCTTGTGATTTCAATCACAGTACTTGCAATGGGAAAAATGAACTGTGCTATGGACGTGGCCCTGGTTACCCTGATGAGTTTGAGAGTACACGTATCATTGGAGAAAGGCAATTCAAAATGGCGGTGGAATTATTCAACAAAGCTACTGAGAAGCTGCGAGGGAAGATTGGTTACCAACATGAGTATGTAGATTTCTCAAACCTTGAAGTCACGGTTCCTAAAGCAGGTGGTGGTGGATCTGAGACTGTGAAGACATGTCCAGCTGCAATGGGGTTTGGTTTTGCTGCTGGTACAACTGATGGTCCTGGTGCTTTTGATTTCAAACAAGGTGATGATAAGGTAACTAAAGCTTCTTAACTATTCTCTCGAAGTTCCTGCAGAAACATCGATAAAATTGGAACGATATAGAAAATATTAGCATGGCCGGATCAGATTCAATGACATACACAAATTGAGAAACAATCTAAAACTTTAAGTAAAGAAAAAAAAAACTATTTTCGCTGAATATATCTTTCTCTAACATAAATAATCTCTTTCTTTAAAGGGTAATGCCTTTTGGAGATTAGTGAGGAATGTGTTAACAACTCCTGGTCCGGATCAGATTCAATGTCAAAAACCAAAACCTATTTTACTTGACACTGGTGAGATGAAGACACCATATGACTGGGCGGTGAGTGTCTCTATCCTCTCTTCTCTTGATTATAAGATTATTGACGGTTTGTTCATTGAACCATGCAGCCATCGATTCTTCCGGTTCAGATGTTTCACATTGGTCAACTAATCATCCTCAGTGTCCCTGGAGGTATGTCAATGAGTCTCTCTTTTGTTTCTAACCTTCTTTACCACCTTAATGAAGCTTATAATTGTATCACACAGAGTTCACCACAATGGCTGGAAGGCGTCTCCGTGATGCAGTGAAGTCATTTCTCATCTCTTTAGACAGCAAACAGTTTGACAACAACCTCCACGTAGTAATCGCTGGTCTCACCAACACGTACTCTCAGTACATCACCACTTACGAGGAGTACGAGGTTCAAAGATACGAGGGAGCTTCAACGCTATACGGCCCACACACACTCACCGCTTATATCCAAGAGTTCAAGAAACTAGCCACAGCTTTGGTCAACGGTCAAACACTCCCACGTGGGCCCCAACCACCAGATCTTTTAGACAACCAGATCAGTTTACTTACCCCTGTGGTCGTAGACTCCACTCCTTTAGGAGTCAACTTCGGTGATGTTAAAACCGACGTGCCTCCCAAGTCAACGTTCGTGAGAGGCCAACAAGTCAACGCCACGTTTTGGTCGGGTTGTCCGAGAAACGACCTGATGACTGAAGGATCTTTTGCTGTTGTGGAGACTATGCGTGGAGAGAAGTGGGTACCAGTGTATGATGATGACGACTTTAGTGTGAAGTTTAAGTGGTCGAGACCGGGGAAGCTTAGCTCTGAGAGCCATGCCACGGTGGAGTGGAGGATACCGGAATCTGCGGTGGCTGGTGTTTATAGATTAAGACATTAGCCCTGTTCGTTTCTTAACCGCTAGATGCAACGGCTGCGGCAAGAAAAAGGTAATACGACGGTGACCAAATTAGTAGAAGCTTAAGCGAAGTAATCGCCAATGGATTTTCGGAGACACAAAAAACGAGACGCTGCGTCTGGAAAACAAGTTGCCGATGCTTCATCGGTGCCGCTAATAATTTCAGCGTCCCTTCTACTTGTTGTTACTCGCCGCTGCGTCTGGAAAACAAGTTGCCGGTGCTTCACTGGTGTTGTGTGATGCCGTGATAGCAGGTATAATTTTTGGTCGCAGCCGCTAGATGCAGCGGTTAACAAACGAACAGGACTATTATGGAGCTTCTAAGTCGTTATTAGGATCTATTACAAGCTTCTCTGGTTCTTCTAGTGCCTTTGTAGTTGTATGACAATCTAGCTAAACTAAACATATAGGTTCATGGTGCATGCATAATTTATTGAAATAAAAAGTCCTGAAAAAAATTATAAACACATTCTCAAGTTATAGATAACCAAATTTATTTTCTTATATTACTACAAACTAGAACGTTACATAGAGCTTCTTGCATCAAAACATAGCAACTAGAGATTCTATTAACCAAAAATCACAAACAATTGCAACATCGGACCACTCAAGACTCAACTTTACCCCAAATCTCACCATCTTGACGTGTTTGAATGCAATCTCCACACACCAAAGCTCTTTTATTCTAGAAATCCATTTTTGATTCAAGAAAAGCATGCAGTTTCCCACCGTAATTCACAACGCATGGCCACCCTACTCCACTTTTCTTGCCAGGCAAACATGTTTCGACACCTTTGACCTCTCTCCAATACCTATGTTTTGTGTCATAGGCTCTTAACTTGTTGTAAAGACGATCATAGGAGTAGAATACATCATCAATGACACACACATTCTTCCACTTGTGGAGACACGAGTTATGATGTCAACTACAACTTAGTCGGGGAGTGACATGATCAGACACGTTGGGGACGACATCTCCAGATCAATCTCTGAGACGAGAAGGAAGCACAAAACCCTAAGTGTATTAGGTTTTACCAATGTTCTAAAACTGGTATGGGAGGAGAAGGCAAATTGGTTATAGCTATTTTTTTTTTCAAAACCAATTCAAACTGCTCAATTTGGTTTAAGACGTCCTAAATGTGGCTAAAATCGATCTAATTAGTCTAATTGAATCTAAAATTATGTAAATTAAGATTTTTTTTTTGTTATCTCTATAATATTATTTGAGAAGTCAGTCGCCTTCACGTTAACTCTCGCGATGGTTGATTACATAGATATCCTTAATGAATTGTTAGATTTTAAGTTTATTATTAATTTTTTATTTAATTTCTTTTTTACCTTTTTTCCAAATAACATATAATAATAATAAAAAAGGAAATATTTCTAAAAATTTAAAACAAATTTAAAACGAAAATATATGTGTAGAATATGGCTTTATTAAAAAGGAAAGTTCACAAAATAGTAATACCCCCATTAATACATATTTTTAAATAACATAAAATATATTTTCAAAATAATAAAAATATATATGTTCATGAACATTCAAAATTTTATCAGTTACACTTTATTTTCTAATACTTTTTAGAAATCAACATATAATTTGATAAATATCATGAAAATACATGTATATTTAAGCGATAAATAAAACTAATTTGATTGGACTTAACTAAAATGGAAAGTAATTATACTTCAGTTTTAATTTAAAAATATATTTAACTCAATATACTCACAAAATGAATGACTCGACTAATCTAATTTATATCCAAAATTAAATATCTAACTACAATAAGAGCATATGATTTAATAATAATAATAATAATAATAATAATTTATTTAATTTTATACATATAAATTAGAGGTTGACTCGAAGCATATTAAAAAGAAAAAAAATATTAACCAATTACAATTTAATTCTTTTGTAGAATTTATATATATTCATGAGACCTCAAAATATTATCATTATATTCATTTATGTAATTGTGAATCAAACACTTCAGCTTATTATTTATTTCTTTTAAGGACAATATATATTAAGTTATACATAATTTAACTATAGTATATTTACATATTTAAGACAATAACCAACCAAAAAACAAGAAAATTAATCAAATTTTTATTATATTTAGAAAAACAAATATTATAGCTGAATTCGAAAAATAGATACTATCCAATATACCAAATTGATAACAAAACCAACTATTGATCCAAAAACTAATTAAACCGACAATAATATATCCAAAGTCATATGTATAATTAGAAAAATATAATATTTATTAATATAAATTATACATATGAATAATATTTATTCAAAACTAAAACTAAATATCAGTCAATTATTTTACTTTTATGAATATTCATATCCGTGCATGAGCACGCGAAAATCACCTAATAATATATTAACTTTCAAATTTTAACAACAGTTCGTCTGGTTAAGAGCATCCGCAATGGTGTTACTCACTGGAGTCCTTAGTTTTTTATTTTTTAATTCTTATTTTTTTTAGTGAAAAAAAATATCAATCAATTGCGGACCGACATATGTTGTGGGGACTCGCAAATAGTGTAAATATTCACTAAAAAGAGTCTTTGTTTAAGAATTTTAAAAATTGAATTCATAATTTTTTTATGGTATTTACCAATTATTTAATTATTTTTTTTTAAGAATTTTCATCGCGGATGCTCAAAAATATTTGGCTTTCACCCGAAAGAACCAGGTTCGAGTTATTTTTTCCTTTTTTACATTTTTCTTTAATTGTTTGACAAAAGATTAGATTAGTCCTTTTTTTTTGGTTGTTCAACACAAAAGATTAGTCCAACGTCACATAAACCTACCCCCAACAAATCCACCGGAACATATCCAAAAATTCAATGCAATAACTCTATTTTCTAAACCTCACACGGACCAGTCATCACGTGCACACGTGCCAAAGACCAAGAGATCCAAACTTTAAAATGGTTTTAACGACCCAACCGGATACTTCTGGCAGATTGGTAATAATAATCCAAAGCTGTTGTGTTCTTCTCTCCTTCGTCCCAATCAAATCTGCATAAGAATTATCGACACAAAATCCACGCGCTCTCTCACGCTCACTCACTCGTTTACACTTGTTTCCTCATTACACAAACCAATCTCTCCTTCTCTCTCTCTCTAAATCAACAACGATCTCCTCGATGCTCTCCTTCATTCCCTCCTGATTCCATCGTCTTTGGATCTCTGGTTCTGTCTTTCCAAGGTGAATTATTCATTACCTGAGTTTACGTTATCAATTGATAAAGTTTACACCTTTTGATAATTGATATTTGGTTTTATTTATCTAATAGAGTGAAAAACGAATCTGACCCATTTGCGTTTTTTTCAATTAGTTAGTGATTTGATTTATCAAAATCTGATTTTTGGCAGCTTTTACTGACACAATTAGAGGATTGAGATCTGTTTTGTAGTAAATCAATTCAATTAATTGCTGTTTGAGGAAAAAAAAGGAATGGCTTCAATGTCTCATTCATCGATAGCATTGGGTGGAGCTTCTGCCTCTGCTTCTGACTACTTGCGTAGTTCGACCAATGGTGTCACTGGGGTCTCATTGAGAACCCTTGGGAGAGCAATGGTTGCAGCCACTAGAACAAAGAGCAACCTCTATGTGACAGCACGTCTCAAGAAAGGTAAGAAGTTTGATCATCCGTGGCCTTCTAACCCTGACCCAAACGTCAAAGGAGGAGTCTTGTCTTACCTCTCCGAGTTCAAACCTTTGGGGAGTGCACAGAAGCCTGTCACGTTGGATTTCGAGAGACCACTTGTTGAACTCGAGAAGAAGATTGTTGATGTAAGAATTAATGGTACCTGTTGTTTGCAGTTGTTGTTTAGTTTTTAACATTGGTCCGTTTGTGTGTGTATATGCAGGTGAGGAAGATGGCGGAAGAAACTGGTTTGGACTTCACTGAGCAGATTATGACTTTGGAAACTAAGTATAGACAGGCGTTGAAAGATCTTTACACGCATCTTACTCCCATACAACGTGTCAACATTGCACGTCATCCCAACCGTCCTACTTTCCTTGATCATATACATAACATCACTGACAAGGTCTGCTCTCTCATTACTTACTGAAACTATTTATACAACTCAAAATTGGTTTTAACTGTTTTAATTCGGTTTAAATCAACGTATATTAGTCTAAATCTATCAAATTAAGTGGGTACAAATCCACAAAAATTTGCCTAATTTCTTTTGTTTTGTATATCTAATTTTGATAATACATAAAAACAAAATTATAATTAAACTCAAAACTAAAATATATAAAATAAACCAATAAGTGCTTATGCCCCGGATAATCCGCTATTTTACAAAGCGTATAGGTGCCCCCTAGCTATTTTGGAACATTTGCTGTAAGTTCATGATTGGGACTCTCTACTCTTGTTTCAGTTTATGGAGCTTCATGGAGACAGGGCAGGGTATGATGATCCTGCTATTGTGACTGGTATTGGAACCATAGATGGCAAAAGATATATGTTCATTGGTCACCAGAAAGGTAGAAACACCAAAGAAAACATAATGCGTAACTTTGGGATGCCTACTCCTCATGGGTATGTTTTTTTCTCTAGGACCTTCTAATCATTTCAAAAACAAGACTCTCATCAAATCTTCTGTAATGCCAACAACAGTTACAGGAAGGCATTGCGGATGATGTATTACGCAGACCATCATGGTTTCCCCATTGTGACATTCATTGACACTCCTGGAGCCTATGCAGACCTTAAATCCGAGGAAAAAGGACAGGTACTTGAAATGTCTTTTTATGTTTAAGGTGTATTGGTTTATCTGCAGAACAATAATCTTTTTTTTTTGGCTTATTTGTATAACAGGGTGAAGCGATTGCCAACAATCTGAGGACAATGTTTGGCTTGAAAGTGCCAATTCTTTCTATTGTAATTGGGGAAGGTGGTTCTGGTGGTGCCTTAGCTATTGGCTGTGCTAATAAAATGCTGATGCTCGAAAACGCAGTTTTCTATGTTGCCAGGTAAACAGTTTCCCCCAATGTAGAATTGTAGATATGATATTATTACAGGTTGATTGAGTCCGTCTCTTGTTTTGGCTTTTATAGTCCAGAGGCCTGTGCAGCGATCTTGTGGCAGACTTCCAAGGCTGCTCCTGAGGTCTGTACACTGTTTTGCTAGTCTTTAAGTGATCGTGTAATATTTGATGTTATTATTGAGTGACTCTTTTGTACGCACTACGCAGGCTGCTGAAAAGCTTAGAATTACCTCCAGAGAGCTGGTCAATCTTAATGTAGCCGATGGAATCATAAAGGTAACTAAACCTATCTCTAATCTATTTGTTATACCTTCTTTTGTTGCTTTGGATCAGTGACTTACTCTCTCTTACATGTTTTACAGGAACCTCTTGGTGGCGCCCATGCTGATCCTGCATGGACATCGCAGCAGATAAAGAAAGCTATCAATGAAAACATGAATGTAAGCATAGTTACTTGAATGTGGATCAGAACACTTTCTAAACCTTTTTCTTTTGTGGTTTCTTCAGGAATTCGGAGAAATGAGTGGAGAGGAGCTGCTGAAGCACAGGATGGCTAAGTACCGAAAGATCGGAGTGTTCATTGAAGGTGTTCCAGTAGAGCCTGAGAAGAAAATCAACATGAAGAGGAGAGACGTGGCTTCCACTAACCTGAAGCTGGAGGGAGAAGTTGAGAAGCTAAGAGAGCAGATTCTGAAAGCCAAAGCGACCTCTTCAGAGGACGTGGAGGAGCTTTCGAGTGAAGTACTTAACGAGATGATTGAGAAACTTAGGTCCGAGATCGATGAAGAGTACACTAAAGCTGCTAAAGCAATGGGTTTGGAGGAGAGACTAACTGCAACTCGTGAAGAGTTCTTGAAAGCTAATGCAGAAGAGCATCTTATGCACCCGGCGCTCATTGAGAAGATTGAGAAGCTTAAGGAAGAGTTCAATTCCCGTCTGAGTGAAGCTCCTAACCACGAGAACCTGAAACTGAAGCTGGAGATGTTGAGGGACTTCTCTAGAGCTAAGGATGCGTCAGATTCAGCTTCGGTGAAAAGAGAGATTAATAAGAGGTTTCAGGAAGCTGTGGCCCGCCCTGAGGTTAGTGAGAAAGTTGAGGCGGTTAAAGCTGAGCTTGCAAACTCAGGAGCATCGTCTTTTGAAGAGTTGAGTGATGAGCTGAAGGAAAAGGTTTTGATGATGAGAAGAGAGTTGGAAGCAGAGATGGTTGTTGTGTTGAAGTCAATGGGTCTGGAGCTGGAGGCTGTGAAACCGAATCTGAAGGATGTGGTGGAAGAGAACTTAGTTCCGAGCGAAAACATTCAAGAGAAGCTTGAGAAGCTGAACCAAGAGATCACCGAGAAGATTGAGGAGGTGGTGAGGACACCAGAGATCAAGAGTATGGTTGAGTTGCTGAAAGTGGAGACCGCAAAGGCGAGCCAGACGGCAGATGGTAGTCAGAAGATCGAGGCGCTTGAGCAGCAGATCAAGCAGAAGATAGCTGATGCTTTGAGCATGTCAGGACTGCAGGAGAAACAAAAGGAGTTGGAGAAGGAGCTTGCAGCTGCACGTGAGCTAGCTGGAGAGGAATCAGATGATGATGATGAAGATGGTTCAGGATCCGGGAAATCAGAGATAATCAACCCCAGCTTCGCCTGAAGCAGAGACTAGTATGTAAGTCAATAATCTGATAAAAACTAAACACCGTCTTTTGAATCATTCACAGAACCAAAACAAGTACTAACGCAAAGACAAAACTCGCAGGAATCTTGAAGCTTTTTTCGATTTCCATTGATAAGACGGTAAGTGGCTTTTCTTAAAAACTGTTCCATGATCTGTGAGCAATAAGCCAAGAGAAAAAGAATTCTCTAGTGGAGAGGAACAACTTAGAAGAGTCTGCTTTCTTTAGTTTAGCTTCAGCAACATGATTTCTTGTTCGGACCAAACATTTGTCTTTGAATTCATTTATGTATTCGTTATGTCTTGTTTCGTTAGAACACTAGTTTTGCCTTCTTAAGTCTCACACATAACACTTTTCACTCTTCTCTTCAAACCTTTGATATATTTAAAAGATTTGTCTAAAGATACACAGTGTTGCACTCTTGTAGAATCATTATAGCCTCAGCCCAACTACTCAATCATCTTCAAATCTTTATGATTCTCTCTTGATCATTGTAATACATCTTGAATGATAAAAATATATTCAACTTTCTTTGACCTTTAATGTGGCTTCACTTTTTGGTCTAATGTGGCTTCATCTTTGTTATTATGTTGTCGTTTGGACGGTAATGTTAATGTTAACCTTTCAAAGATAGTTGAGAAATGACAATAACAAATTAAGTAACTCCAACTTGAAGGATATTGACACTTTACCAATATTAACCATGACAACTCATCAAATCATTTGTTGGATTAAGTGCTTAAAAGTGCAACATCTTCGGTACGGAGAACACAGTAATAATAAGCAGTTCGACCACAAATGAATAAAAATAGAACATATCTTAGGTTCCTATTATTTCCATTCCACACATATCCAGTATCGTGTATGACCAGAACGGCAAAAGTGACACGCATTTCGTATGTAGCCTTAGCTTTGAAACAAACTCAAGCAAGATAGAGGGAGAGAGAGGCTGTCTTTGTTGGGTTATTGTTTACAACGACGTGAAAGGCATTTCTCAACTAGTTTACTGTCTTAGTTTCTAAGCATTCTAATTTCCACCTCACTTCCCACAGCTTCTAAGCCACTTTTTAACATTTTAAAAACATTTTGCGACTATATTGAATCCACTATCCAAATTCAAGAATAACAATTCAATATAACTTTATGGGATTTTTTTTTCTATTTCCATTTCTCAATCCCTTTTTCTTTTTGGAACACATTTCTCAATATCCACCATTTTAATAAACACCCACCGCCACAAATTAAAAGTACTCAATGAGAAAAGTGTGAAGCAGAAAGAAAAAAATGTTATATGTATACCGCAAGGAACAGAGATGTACGATCTTAAAATGAACAAATATATAAGGCCATCTATCGAAACTAATATTATACATTTTGTAAATCTTAAATATTACTTCGAGTTCAGACGTGTACGTCTCACCACAGTATTACACAGCCTCGACCCTGTCTCTTTTCACAATCGCTATTGACAACAATTTGAGTATACATTATCTATAGATCATTATAAAATAATGATCAGGAGCCTTCTAATGCATATATAAGACAAATCAAGCCTATGAAATATATATATCGTAATTCTTTGTAATGTATGCTGAATCTTTAATGCAATAAACTTTCATTTTCAGATGAACATTAGTCAACTGTAAGTAAATAATAAATATTATTAGTCCAATCTGCCGCAAACATTTATACATATAACTCCAGAACGTTTGCCTGTTGTTTTTTTTAATTTCTTTATCTAGTTCTTTAGACAAATCGGCATAGTACTTGGTACGGATGATCCATACTTTTTTTGATAAAAATGATCCATATATATTAATATACCAAAAAAATATAACAAAAATGATCCGTATATCTTTTCATGCAAATACAGTGGAATGATCTCAAGACTTATACGAATCGACTTTAGGCAAAAAAAGGCTTCTATGAGTCAGTGAATTCATATTAAAATTAAGGAATTGAACAGACAGGTTAACGCAACAACGTAATATTATCACAGTGACAGAATTTAAAACAGTACAAACTTAACATACCCGGTAAAATAATTGAGAATAATCGAGACGTAGAGATTATATATGTTATATTTGCATGTTAACTAAAATCATCATGTTAACCCAAAAGAGTTCAAACATAAAATTCGAATAACTATTCAAAACTGGAAATAAAGCATATGATAAATGAGATTTGACAATTAATTTGGTATGAAAAGAAAAAACAATTTTCTTAAGTTTGGTCAGAGAGATTGGTTGTGGTAAGAATGGGAATCTTAACTATAAAGAGTTAGATTTTGGGTCGACCTACCACCTAAAACGACGTTGCCTCCTTCTCTCGTTTCTAAACAGTTTCTCCTCTCTCTTTTATAAGCTTGCGTTGGCCAGTCGCTTATCCCAAACACAAAGACAAGAATATTAAACACACAGAAGAAAGAAGAAGAAGGACGAGAGAAGAGAGAGATATGAAGTCTCAAATGGTTTGGTTTCTGTTTTTTGTGTCCTTCTTGTCTTTGTACCCGTCTCCTTCGGAGAGCATGGTTCGCCACTACAAGTTTAACGTGAGTCTTTATCTATCCACTAGCATGCATAGCTGTATATGTACATTTATATTTTATATTTATGCATACGATTTAACGTGAGTTAATCGACACTTATTCTTATAAGCATGCCTATATTTCGTACATGAGTCATATATATATGGTTTGTGGTTTCACACTGGAATATATGTAATTTGTTTCATATAGGACATTTCAGACCTAAATTTTCTGTAAATATATTTTTATTAGTCTTTTGCTGGCACACATTACCATTTCAAAGTTATGTACGTCAGGTGTCTTCCCCTTTTTAAACATGACAATCATTTTATGTAATAGGGTCATATAGCACCTTTGTTTTTGTTGCAACTTACAATCAGATAATGATTATGATTAAATCGGTTTGACTTTTGTCACATGTACCTTTTCCCTTTTGTTTAACTTTGCAATGTAATAATTACTGATTCTATTTGTATTTGAAAATCACACAGGTTGTGATGAAGAACATTACTAGATTATGCTCAAGCAAGCCAACCGTGACCGTGAACGGTAGATATCCAGGTCCCACAATCTACGCACGAGAAGACGACACGTTGCTCATCAAAGTCGTTAATCACGTCAAGTACAACGTCTCCATCCACTGGTAAGCAAGCTCCTACTTAATCTTCAACTGAATCATCATTAGTAAGTTTATTAATTAACTGATTGGTTACTGTGGATGACCAGGCACGGTGTGAGACAAGTGAGAACAGGATGGGCCGATGGGCCAGCTTACATAACCCAGTGCCCAATCCAGCCAGGTCAAGTCTACACATACAACTACACCTTGACAGGCCAACGCGGAACCCTCTGGTGGCACGCTCACATCCTCTGGCTCCGAGCAACGGTTCACGGTGCAATTGTTATCCTCCCAAAACGTGGTGTCCCCTATCCGTTCCCCAAACCTGATCACGAGAAAGTCATCGTTCTAGGTATAGATTTATCATTCTATTTTGAACCACGATTAGAAAGTTTGAACTGATTGAAAGTCGAATTCAAATTTGGTTAAATTATTTGTTAGGAAGGATAAATGTTACTGATTTACATATGTTAAATTTATTAGGTTTTTGCACATAAAATTACCATTTTATTAGTAAAACTTGAAGTGATCAGGGAAACAAAACCAAAATATAACTACACCTAATGAAAAACAAATCTTCTTTCGAAAACCTAGCACTCCTAGCTAAAGTGTACAGTTTTTTGGGTTAAAAACATATAAAGGTTAATGCTGTTATCATTATGGCACTGAATATATGTTAACTTGGCATATGACTAACTAACGCTCATCATAATGGCAGCTGAATGGTGGAAATCGGATACTGAAAACATCATTAACGAGGCGCTTAAGTCTGGATTAGCCCCTAATGTCTCTGATGCTCACATGATCAACGGACACGCTGGACCAGTAAAAAATTGTCAATCTCAGGGTAATTAATTTCTTAGTAACCATTATTATTATTTTTTATTTGTACCACTATTGGTTACCAGAAAACTGAGTTTATGGAAACCTCTTTCTGCTCTCGAAGGTTACAAACTGTCAGTAACAAATGGCAAAACCTATCTCCTACGACTAGTCAATGCTGCACTTAATGAAGAGCTCTTTTTTAAAGTCGCCGGCCATCATTTCACGGTGGTGGAAGTCGACGCCGTCTACGTCAAACCGTTCAAGACCGACACCATCCTTATAGCCCCTGGACAAACCACCAACGTCCTCCTAACCACCTCAAAATCTGCCGGCAAATACCTTGTAACCGCGTCTCCCTTCATGGACTCCCCTATAGCCGTGGACAATGTTACCGCCACCGCGACTGTTCATTACTCAGGAACACTATCCTCCTCCCCAACAACACTCACTCTCCCTCCGCCGCAAAACGCTACTACCATCGCCAATAACTTTACAAACTCTCTTCGTAGTCTCAACTCCAAGAAGTACCCTGCCCTAGTCCCGACCACCATCGACCACCACCTCTTTTTCACTGTCGGCCTCGGGCTAAACCCGTGTCCCACTTGTAAGGCCGGGAACGGAAGCCGTGTCGTGGCTAGTATCAACAATGTAACATTCACTATGCCCAAAACCGCTTTGCTTCCTGCTCATTACTTTAACATTAGCGGTGTTTTCACTACGGATTTTCCCAAGAACCCACCGCACGTTTTCAACTATAGTGGAGGATCAGTCACTAACATGGCAACGGAAACAGGGACGAGGCTTTATAAGCTACCTTACAACGCCACGGTGCAGCTTGTTCTCCAGGATACTGGCGTCATAGCACCGGAGAATCATCCTATTCATCTACATGGCTTTAATTTCTTCGAAGTTGGTCGAGGATTAGGTAACTTCAACCCCAAGAAAGATCCAAACAACTTTAATTTGGTTGACCCGGTTGAGAGGAACACAATCGGAGTTCCATCTGGTGGATGGGTTGTCATCAGATTCAGAGCGGATAATCCTGGTACGTTCACCAAATTCAATATAAAAATAAGTTAATCAAGTGATTCTAATCTAGTGGTTATAGAACTTGTAGTCATTGGTTTAGGTTTAACTCATCATATTCTCTTTGTCCTTTGCCAAATTCAGATATAGCAGTTTCTGCAAGCTATGATGATTTGCGATCTCTCCGTTATTTTTAAAAATAGAAAAGAATAAAAACCTCTTATACTAATAAGTCAACTACTATTATACAGTCCCTCATTATAAAATTAATGGATTGATATTTTGTTACGTATAGGGGTTTGGTTCATGCATTGTCACTTGGAGGTACACACGACGTGGGGATTAAAGATGGCTTTCTTGGTGGAGAACGGCAAAGGACCCAATCAGTCGATTTTGCCACCGCCTAAGGATCTTCCTAAGTGTTAGATTCTTCAAGTAAACAAGGCCACGTCCAAGAAGACCATCAAGTGGTGAATTATTGCGTGGATTTGGTTAGCAAATTATATTTTTTGAGCAAAGCAAAAGGTTCAATTTTTTTTTG